AGGCTGCTCTGCCGGCAGGTTCGTCGGCGCCTGCCTCCCGGTCCTCGAGGCCGGCGGTGGCGTCGGGCGGCTTCTCCGTCGGGGACAGCGGTCCTGTGGTCCCTCCCGAGGCCGTCTCGGGGCCCCTGGGGGCCCGTTCCGGTGCGGGGAGCGCCCTCCTTCCACCTGCTTCTGCGCCTGCGTCTCCGTCCCCGGCTGCTGGTCTCCTCCTCCTCCGGGGAGAAGCTTCTCTCTGCGCCCCGCCGCTGCCGCCGAGGACCCTGGTCGGTGCTTCGCCCGCCGCCTCGCCCTCCCCTCGGTTCCCTTCCGCTGAGGAAGCTTCTCTTGCTCTCATTTCCCTTCTTCCAGCTTCCTCCCAGTCTGGCTGGCTTTCCTCCGAAGCAGCAATCGTTTCTGGCATCTTCTTCCTCCTAGGGGAAGGATGGGGGAAACGTTTCTCCGTTTCACCTCTTGCCTCAAGCTCCTCCACGAGCTCCTCCTGTGAGGAAGCTTCTTTTTCTCCAATGTCCCTTCTTCCAGTTTCCTCCCAGTCTGGCTCGCTTTCCTCCGAAGCAACAGTCATCGCTGGTATCTGTTTCCTTGAAGGAACGTCTCCTTCCGTTTTCTGGAAGCCTCCCTCGATTTCACATACAGTCGTCGCTTCCTCTCCAATCTCTTTCGGTGAGGAAGCGTCTCTCTTTCGGATTTCTTCCAAACCTGCCTCTCTGTACTCGGAGGCAGCGCCAAGTTCTGGCATTTTTGTTGGGGAAATGTCTCCCTCTGTTTCTTTCAAAGCTTCCTCTACTTCCCCCATGGTCTTGACCTCCTCGGAGCTCTTTTGCTGTGGGGATAGTTCTCTTTTTCCAAGGTCTTCCCAAGCTCGCTCTCTCTCCTCGGACGCAGAAATGGTTTCTGGCACCTGCTCGGTTGGGGAAATCCCTCTTTCTGCGTTTTGCAAGGCTTTCCCTCCTTCACCTACAGCCTGGAGCACCTCTGGGACTTTTTCCTGCGGGGATATTTCTCGATTAGTGTCTTCCAAATCTGTCTCTGTTTCCTCCGGGATATCAATCACTCCGAGTAGGTTCTCTCTCGGGGAAATCTCTCGTCCAGACTCTCTCAACCTTGTCTCCACTTCCAGAGAGTGGCCAATCGTTTCTGGTATCTTCTCACTAAGAAAGCCATCTCTTCTTCCAGCGTCTTTTACATCTGTCTCTATTTCCTTAGAGTCACCAGCCTCTGCAGGTACACTCTCCGCTGGTGAGCTTTCTAGCCTTGGAATTTCTCTCAGAACTGATTCCATTTCCCCAGAGGCCTGAATCTTCTCTGATCCCTCTTCCTTTGAGAAAATTTCTCTCTTTCCAATTCCTCTTCCGATATTTGGTTTTGGTTTTTTAAATCGAGTTCTTACAACTGGGGTCTGTTTGAGTATCTTTACTTCATTTGCTTCTTGAAGGCTACAAAAAAAGATAATCAAATTTCAAACCAACTTGCCAGTTAAGAGATAAAGAGTAGGAGACATCAAGGAACGCCCCCCCCCAACACACACACACACACACACACACACACACGGACAAAACAGCAAAGACCCAGAAATCTATGGATGAAATTTTAACAGTTAAAGAAAAAACATTCCATCTTTAGAAATTACAGTAAAATTTTAAAACAGTTAAATGTATTTCAACTAATGTTCTCTTTATAGGTAAAATGTATATATAGGCAGATGTATATATGGAGATATTCATTAATAATGTCACTCAGATTTGCTGTACAAGGTGCACCTTGTTAAAAGTGACCCTTGACTACTATGTTGCCCCTTACCCAAGCTACGATATTTCCAATTGCCTCCTGTCCGTGCGAAAGCTGAACAATGAATGAGGAAGACCAGAGAATTGATGCATATAAATCATGGAGCTGGTGAAGAATAATGGAAGTACCATGGACTGCCAGAGAACAAACAAAACTCTTGGGAAAAGTGCAGCCAGAGCGCTACTTAGAACTGAGGGTGGCAAGACTGTCTCACTTTGGATATATTAGAAGTAGGCATTAGGTTCCTGGAGAAGGACATTATACTTGGTAAAGTAAAGGGAAAGCAAAAAAGAGGAAAACCCTAAATGAGAGACACTGGTATAATGGCAGAAACAATGGGCTCCACCCTAACAAGTTTGAGGATGGTGTAGGACCCGCCAGTGTTTTGTTCTGTGACACATAAGGTTGCTTTTAGTCGGATCCAACTCTATGGCACCTACCAAGAACAACCACACCATGCCGAGAAGCAGCTGGTGGGCCTTGAATCATTCCTTTCTAAATGCTATCCCTATCATACTATCCAAATCCTACCTGGAAAAGACTTCCCCATACTCGGCATCAGACTTGAGCAAGCTGTGTCTGCTATTTCTATTTCTATTTCTTTCTCTTTACCATTTTCCCCAGATTAGTGTTTAGCACCAAGTTAAAAAAATCAAAAAACTAGATGGAAGTATGATTTTAAAAAACTCAGTCTTATTAGGAAGAATTAGGTTGTCCTTCCTTGGATTTTTAAAAACAATTTAAAATTAAATTTACATTATAAAATGCTTATGGTCTAATTTTAGTATATGTGCTGCCAAAGTGAGCACAAATGCTTACAGTCTAAATGCTTGAGATTCCATAATACATATTGTAAATTACAGACAGATTAAAAAGAGAACATTTTTTGGTTTATTGAACACTACTGCGCATGAAACAATTGCGAGCCTGAAAAAGCACCTCAATATCCAGTAAACGTGGAAGCACACTATCTTGATACAGTTCCTTTGTATTTCTTTGAGCTTCCCTTACAATAATGGATGGATGGTGAGATCACGAAAAATAAATAAACGAAAAGGCTCCAAGTAACAAGTTAAAATATATCATTATTCTTGGGCAAAAGCTAGATAAAATGACATACTGAATTTTTTCAGCAATGTTAAGTTAAACCAGTGGTTCTCAACCTTCCTAATGCCACAACCCTTGAATACAGCTCCACATGCTGTGGTGACCCCCAACTATAAAATTATTTTCGTTGTTACTTCAGAACTATAATTTTGCTACTGTTATGAATTGTAATGTAAATATCTGATATGCAGGATGTATTTTCATTGTTACAAATTGAACATAATTAAAACATAGTGATTAATCACAAAAACAATATGTAATTATAATTCATGAAGTGTCATTTTACCTCCAATACTGCTGCTTTCAACACAGCAGCTGCTTTCTACACAGTAGCTGCTCTCTACACGTGTCACTGGTCCGCATAAGTACATTATGGCACCAACCCTGTCACATACGCCTGTATTTGTACGGGGTGTATGTGATGGGGTTGGCGCGATGATGTCATCATGCCAGGTACTTGTATGATCTGCATGTGGGTGTATATGTATGTGGGCGGACCCGCCTAGAAACAGATAGAGAAGCAGTGTCTCAGCTCCTAAGACCATAGGAAATAAGTGTTTTCTGATGGTCTTAGGCGACCCCTGTCAAAGGGTCATTCAGTCCCCAAAGGGGTCTCGACCCACAGGTTGAGAACTGTTGAATTAAACAAATGTGTAACTATACACTTAACTGTTTTTAAAAAGCTTTAAGCTTTATTAAAAACTATTCTACTTCTTATTTGAAAACTCTCTAGATCCTAACTTATTCTTCCTCCTGGAAACAACTTTTTAATAATGGAATTTATTAAAACACAAGGCAGATCCTTAGGACCAAGAATGATTTTCAAGCTAAATTTGTTTTTAAAAATAAGATGTTCACATCGATTATCAGCATTAGCAAGTGGTAACATTCAATGCAACATCAATACCAACTGATAGAGGAAATTTAATTTAGTTACTCATATATAGACTTCATTCTATTTTCCAGTTTTTATACTTTTTATCTCCATTCAGAAACATCAAGCTTAAGTTCCTATGCTAGCAATCTTGGTATGAGAATCAAGGGGAAATGAGAACAAGTATGGCCTTTATTAAATCACATGTTGAACACTAAAAAGAGCCCTGTTGCCATAATGGTTGCTTGTTTGGCTGTTAACCTTAAGGTCAGCAGTTCGAAACCACCAGGGCTTGTGGAAACAAGGCGGGGGTTTCTGCTACCCTCACGAGTTAGTCTCAGAAACCCTCAGGAGCAGTTAGGATCGCTGAGTCAGCATCAACTCAATGGCAGTGAGTTTGGTATGTTTTGGTTTTGTTTTTTTTTTTAGTTATGGATAAATAAAAAATAAACATAACACCTATTAGAGTCCCCAGTCAGCAAATATTTCTAAGCCAGAGAGAAGTGGTAGGAACTTGAAATACCAAAGTAAGAACACTAACATTCTCACAGAGTTCCTCTCAGGTGCACAACTAACTGAAGGGCATTATCTGAGACTGAAAACCAGATGTGTAGTTGAATTAAATTACTTCCCACTTTAAAAACACATAGTATACCTAAAAATTACCGGATCACAGAATTTAAGGAGAAAAACAAAGAACAAAAGTAGAGAAAGTAGGAAGAATAGGAATACAACTATAAATGCCTTTCAAGGTCCACAAATATTATCTTTCTAAATTACACAGTTTAATAATTTACAACATAATTATAAAGCTTCATGAAATATATCATCAGCCATGACACAAACCTCAAAATATTCATATGAAGTAGAGAGGATGAAACATTAGCCTAGAAGAATAGGCTTCAAAAGATCTTCTAGTATGGATTGTTATACGAGCTGTAAGAGTCCCCAATAAAAAGATTTATTTCAGAAAATAGTAATAAAAAAATTTTTAATCTCCTAATTTGTCAAAGCAACACTACCCACAGCCATTTGGTCATAAAATAGGTTTGTTTGGGTTTTTTTGCTTTGTTTTAATAAAACAGATTTTATGTTTTGTTTAATTTTCTAATTTTGAGAGAGGCAGGGTTCTAGAAAAGGAAGTAAAAAGCAAAGGAATAGTAGAGAAAACAAGAAATAATATGAATAATTGCTGAAACTTAGTAGGTTTGAGAATCCATTATTCTGTTATCTCTGCTTTTATGTACATCAAAAATTCCCAAATTAAGTTATATATTTTATCTAACTTTAAAAAAAAGTTAGCTAGTAATTTCATCAATCTTCTCGTGAGGGGAAATAACAAAACACAGGGAGCTTTATTAGCTATGAGAAGTATGGGTTTCTATATATACGTTTTACAAAAGATACATGTAAATTTTAAATAAAGGCAATACATATGATCACAGTAATAGCAAAATAACAAATATTCCCATGTTACCCCAAACCATGCCCACTGCCAGTGAACAATTCCATTTCCAGCAACCCTAGAGGACAGAACCACTGCCTCACACGATTCACAAGGCGCAAACCTTTACAAACGCAGAGAGGCGCCTTTCCCCCAAAGAACAACTGGTGGGTTCCAACTGCTGACCTTTTAGTTCACATTAGAATCACTCTTAAGCATAATACTTAAACTATTAAACTACCAGGGCTCCTAACCAAGTGAGCGCCATCTAATTTACACTGCATAACTCATCCCAAGCTACCCGTAACTAAGACAATCACATGAAGGCTATGACCTAGGCTTGAAAATAAAAGTATAATCTACGTATTGTATAACTTAATGTGTGTACTTTTAAAATGTTATTAACAATCCCTACAACTTTATGTAAAAGTTCAAAATTATATAGTCAATAAAATACTGCTCACCTTAGACGTTCATTATCATTACCAGTCTTGGATTCATCTGGTTGCACATCTTGGTAAGAAGTATCTTTTTTCTCAGACTGTGATGGAACATCTCCACCATCAAAAATTTTACATGACTGATCTTCTACTTGTTCAGGAGTCTTAATTAAAAAAAAAAAAATTTAGATTTCACATCGAAACATATTAATCAAAGACTTACTTAAAATTCTGTTCAATAAATAGAAAGAAATTGGTAAAATTTTCAAATGATATTCCAATTTAATTTCAAATGATATTAAAATGAAATTCAAACGTTGCCTTCTATCATTTTCCTTTAGATAGCTTAGACATTTCCTAAGCCATACCTTTACAGCATCTAAAAGGCCCATTCTCAATGTAACCAACAGAAATTACTGAAAACCAAATGAAAGCTGAACATGATAGGGGGACAAAAGGAAATAGAGGAAAGAACTAGGTGACAAAGGGTATTTATAGAGGTCTAAAGACTAGAATGCACATATGTAAATATAAATATATAAGAGTGTGGGGAAACAGATCTATGTGCATATATTTATAGGTTTAGTATTAAGGCAGCAGGTGGACATTGGGCCTCCACTCAAGCAAGCACTTACTCAATGCAAGAACACGTTCTATTAAATTGGCATTCCAGGATGCACACCTTCCTAACACGAATGCTAAAGAAAAATGGGTGCATAAGCAAATGTGGTGAAGAAAGCTGATGGTGCCCGGCTATCAAAAGATATAGCATCTGGGATCTTAAAGACTTGAAGATAAACAAGCGGCCATCTAGCTGAGAAGCATCAAAGCCCACATGGAAAAAGCACACCAGCCTGTCTGACCACGAGGTGTAGAAGGGAC